GCACCACACTGCGCAACTAGTCACCAGGACAGGCTGTGGTGCTATAATTCGATGAAAGTGAACGTCTTGAGAGGCCCACAGACTCACATGCCTCGGTCCATCTCTTCGGAAAGAAGAGGAGCGGGCATGCGGCTCTGGCCCCGGGGCCATAGCTGAACTTCGGGCCAAAAGAAAGTGAACGCTTGCCCGGATGGGCGTCCCGACCAGCCGGCACCCGAGTCGCCGAGGTCAGGAGGTGTTTACAGCTTGTCCCAAGGCGCTTACATGACCATCCTAGGGGTCCACAACAAGCGGCAAGACTGGCCGCGAGCTTTGATTGAATGTCACTTGCTTTGATTCGGTGTGTACCGAAGTTTGAAGTCCTGAGGCCCAGCGCCCATGCAGTCATTCAAGATATGAAGTTGCGAGGCCGCCTTTTCACCCAAGCTGGAGGGGATGCCGTCGCGGATGCCGTGTTAGATGGGATATGTGTAATCTGGGTCATTTCTCTCACAGGTGACGCTCGTTTGTCTTTCAGCTCCCTCGCTTGTTTGGGTCAGGTCCTGGGCGCCGGCCTTGCGAGTTGCCTCGATTACGAACTCGTTTCATTTCCGGCTGGGTAGCTTACACAGGTCGCTCGGGGGGCCGGTTGCGGGACCTCGCAACCCGCCAGCCTTGCGAATGTTCCCCTTGAAAACACGCTCATTTGTCTCCCAGCTCGGTTGCCTTGCATGCCGGCCTTCTGACCTCCAACTCAGTTGCCTCGTTTCCTGACGCTGGCGTTTGTGTCCTTGCTCGGTTGCTTGGGGCAGCGACGCGTCTTGCGAAAGCGAGGCAATTTTGTCACCCTTCAACACGCCTATGTGTTTTTCAGCTCGGTTGTTTTGGTCGGACCCTCTACGCCTGCCTCATGCTTGTTTCCCATAGTACGTTTGTGTCCCAAATCGTTTGCTTGGGAAAGTGCCATGTTGAGCAGCCTTGGACCCTGTGGCAGCCTGGAAACACAGACTGGCGGGTACGCCGCCTGCGTTTCGTGCCGCCGTTCTTGCTTGCCCAGATAGCTTTGGCTATAGGGGTTCAGGTGCTGGTCAGGGTGCTGGTAGCAACCGGCGGTGACTGGCGGTGTTTGTTCCCAGATAGCTGAAAGCTTCAAGGGGTTCTTACTTCCAGGCAGTTTTGCGAGTTCGGGGCAGGTTGGTGCTGCAGGTTTCGGGTGCTGTTTGGGGTGTGTGTAGGTGCTATGGTGGTTGCTGGCACTGCCTGTTTTGCGATGCTGTTGGCTGGTCTTGCTGCAGCGCTGCTGCGGGTGCTGGTCAGGTTGCTGTTTGGTGTCAAGGAGCTTTGGCGCGGTGATTGCTAGTTTCTGACACGCTCTCAAGAGACGTTGGCAGTCTTTCGGTTGGGTCTATGTTGGTCATATTGGTGTGGCTCAAAATTAAACAGCAGGGGCAAACCGCAGGTTTTGGTCCATGTTTCCACTTACCAAGGCAACCCATTTTGGAATTCCGGTTTTTTGAGCCACAGCCCTATACCTTCCAGCGTGCGTTACATCTCAAGAGTGCTTGGGGACGCTTCGTGGGGACCGTTCTAGGCCCTGAAACCCGGAAAACGCCGCAGGGCCGCGCCGCCGGGCATTGGTCAGGCGTTGCCATCGACAGCCTCGCCTTGAATGTGGCCCTGTCCACCGGTGTTGCGGCAGATAAGGCGGCAAGAGGGGTGCAGAACCCACAGCGATTCTGGTTGTGTTGGCTGCCTCTTTTATGCCATTGCCGCCTTGAGTCCTTGCGCGGCAAAAGCCAATTCAGCATTGAGATCCCGTCGTCAATCTTGGGCAGGTGGAAGAAGTCATGCAGTTGCTTTCGGAGGCGCGCATGTTGCTTGTGTTGGTTCACCGGACAGACCCGATCGTCAGACATGATATCATGTTAGAGGCTGAAAACATGGAGCCCTGCATCCCCGATGCTGGCACCTCAGAATCGCCGCTCGCCGTCCTTTGCTTTTCCCGAGCTGCGCAGGTCGTCTCCTACAACACCTTGATCAAGGCCTTTGCGCAGCGCGCCAGCTATGCCGGCGCCTGCCAGGCGTTCGAAAGCGAGCGAAAGCGAGCGAAAGCGAGCGAAAGAGGTCAGTATTTTGATGGTTGCGGGTTGTCAAAGTCAGAAGATGGGGTTGTTTCCCTTTAGCCCATCACTTCGGGGGTGACTTTGATCATGGTAAAATAATGAGAGCAGTCGCTGGCTCACCGGGCACTTTCAGCGTTTCGGCAGCGCAGGTTTGGGACCGGATGCGGGCCCAGCGGAAGTTCCCCAACGCCATCTCCTTCAACACCGCCGGCGGCTTATGGATCTCGATGTGGCGATGTGGCGATGTGGCGATGTGGCGAGTTGGCGATCGAGGTGGTGCGCAAGTGGGTATGTCAAAATAGGGGACCCATGAAAACACAAAACCAAATGAAATGGGCTTCGGTTTCCTTTTGGCTTCCCTGCAAAGCCAACCCCAAGAAGGGTAGCATCAAGCCCCAAATCATTGGTTTGACCTGAGGTGATGGACGCAGCAGTCCGTGCTGGCATGCCAGAAGAGGCCTGGACTCGGCTGCAGGACCCGCGTCCTTTCCGCTCGCGGGACCGGTCCCCGCGTGCTCGCTGGGCGGAAGGAGAGAGAGAGCCCGCGACGTGAGGAGATGCGGAAGCGGGGCTTCAAGCCCGACAAGTTCACGTGCTCCATTTTGGCCGCAGATCTCGGTCGAAGAAAAGACCCCCCAACACCCAGACCAACCCCACCGGCGCGGCGAAGCGATTTTTTTTTGAGCCAAGGTGAAGGCGTTTTGCAAAGCCGGGAACGGAGCTTCAGAGGTGCGGAGGAAAACAAACCACACGCTTCGTGTCGCGTATGCCATGCTAGGAGTCCGTCGCCCGCACCCTGGCTGTCCTGGATGAGGCCAACGACTGCTGCCGCCTGAGCTTTTGAAGAAAAAAGGAACAACGTGGCCAGCTGTCAGACAACTCACTGCTGTTTGTTGGACTTTGTTTGGCATCATCTGATCTTGTGAGCCACAGGGTCTTTTAGTTTTGGCTTGGCTTCGGACATGCCCGAGGCCTTGATGCAAGCCTGAAGGCAACTCTCTACAACAATGTCGGAGCCTAATGCTCTCATCGCGCTTGCTTGCTTTGTGGCGACTCTAGAATCAGCCAGCGCAGGTGCTCGATGTCACCAGCAAGGCTGAGTTGAGCACCTCCATGCTCAAGATCATGCAGCAGATGCGTGCTCGGCGCGCCCGGCGCTTAGGGCACTGCTTGTGGGTCTCTCCTTCTTTCAGGGTGGGACACTCAACGGAACGCCAAAACTTTGCAGGGAGCTCAGCTCATTTTTCTCACTGGCCTTGAGGTCAACGGTGCTGCTCAAAAGAGTATGGCCAGATACTCAGGGCACGATGTGGGTACAGTCTGAGCAGAGAGTCAGACCTGTCATCGGCGAGTTGAAGCCACTTCTCCTTCTGCAAGACTGCCTCATGATTGCTTCACAAATGGGCCGTTGCATAGTAGCGCTTTGTATCACGCCATGCCGAAAATGCATGCCATGAACATGAGAGTACATTCGCGATGTGCATCATGCAGTCAAAGTCTCCGGTCTATGGTCTGTTTGGGAGGGACTGATATCAACCAAGCCAGGCATCGAAAAGCATGTCGCTTCACCGCCAAGGTCAATGCGCTCGGCAACGGGCAGTAACCGGGCATTGCACAGTTTCGCCCAGGATAAAAGCAAGCATCCTTTGATCACAGCAGTTGCGCAATTCATAAAGGACCTGCAATGACATTCCATTATCATCTTTCCTTTCATCTGACTTAACCATCACTTTGACCAGGTGCATTTACGGCTCAGACAGTTGTCAAAGCAGCGTGATGGTGCTCCCAAGCCAAAATGCTTCAGGAATTTCCGCCTCTTTTTGCTTTCTTCTTGAGCAGTTGCAGTCAACAAAAGTTCTTGGCAGCAAGCTCATTGTGTTTGACACATGGCCGTGGGTCAACACCAATGGTACCATTTTGGGGTAGGTGCACCACCCATTTTAGTCTATTTTAGTGGGGATTGGGATGTTCACTAGGAGACGGGGTTTTGACCCATAGCCACATATTTCCTGACTTGGCTTGAAGTGCGCATGTCGACCTTCCTGGGACGACTCACCAGGGTTACCACTGCTGCAGCAACGGGCCTTGTCTTGTACGACGTTGGGAACAGAGAGTGGTCAACGCGTCACACGTGGTCCTCAGCTGTCAAGCAGCCACTCGGACAGGGGGCGAAAGGTTGTCGAACACGTGACATCTCCCCCAAAGACCCTTCCTTTTGTGCCGGCCTTGTCCCCACACTTGGGTCTGACACAAGCAAGATGGGTAGGCGAACGGGCAGTGAGGGAGGTGTTCCCATGCGGTGAACGTTCCCTGCGCCCCTATCTCTCTTTTTCACTGGGTCCGGGCATCCAAGAGGCGGTTCCCCACAAGCAAAGCGCTCCAAGGGCGACGCGCACAAAACATCGTGGCAACGTGCGCTTCGGGCTGAGGTACGCGGTGTTGGCGCTGCTGAAGCTGTGGGGCGCTTGGCGCCTGCGGCAGCTCTGTAGTGATGCTCAGCGGGGCGACGAGGCGTCGCCCCTTAAAGGTTCGGAAGCTAACAGGGACCCGACATTTCAAGGAGGGGTTAACGATATTTGAATATTTCAATTCTACACATGGTGCAAGAAAAGGATTGGCCGATACAGCATTAAAAACAGCTAATGCCGGTTATTTTACCAGAAGATTAGTAGATGTTGCATTAGATTGTGCTGTAACTGAGTTTGATTGTGAAACTCAAGATGGGATTACTATATTTAATTTTGACGCACATTTCGCCACGGTGTTGGCAAGCACGATCATTTGAGCTACAATCAAGACCCGGGTAGATGAAGGTTAGTAGGGGCAGTCCCAGCCATAAATAGCTGCGGCCGCCTTCTTAATTCTATACATGGTTCCGGGTAGACCTCTTTAATACCGGGTTTTGATTATGACTCATTTTCAGGTGCAGCGCCGGTTGCTCACTGCCATCCTGCAGGGCCATCAAAACACCGCCTTCGCGGAGCGGCACGGGCTTCAAGGAGCGTGTTTTCAGCTTTGCGACTCAACGCCTTTTGGACAACCCACGGTCAACACGTGCTGTTTCCCGCAATGGACACGGGGACAACAAGGGATAACAAGAGAGATAGAGTCCCTTAAGTTTCTTATGTTTACATATGGGACGATTGGAGAGTCCCCCATGTCGATGCTGACCCTCGATTAGAGCCAGGCGCCCGGTCGACCGCTCTAGTTGAGATGGTCCTCTTTGAAGACGGGCATTCAGAAACCTTCAGTTGGAATGCTCAATTTTAACGATGCGCAGGAGTGGTCACCTACGACATCTTCCGTGAGAGCCATCCCTTGACATCCCGAGATGTTCCAAGCGAAGGTGAGGAGCCTGACGCTTCGAGCGTTTTTTTCGAGCGAGGCTTCCTACCAGCCGCCGGGGTTCTCAGCTTGTTCTTCCCAAAGTGCCTGGAAGAGCTACAGAGACTAGCGGTTTTACCTGGCCGAACTTTCGTGGGAACCACTTGGGTGGAAGCCAAGCGGCTTGACTTCCTCTGCACGAGCCCCCTAGCCGCCTTTGACTTGCACGACAGGGATCAGCGCTATGCCCACACGCTGTTCAGCCTGAAAGAGAGGCGTTTGCCTCTGATTTTGGCCGGCTCGGCGCTGGATGTCAAGGCTCTGCTGGATACCGCCTTTGAGCATCGGCGACACCTTGTTCAGGACATACGCAACGGCGCCTGGGTTTCCTATTTGTTTTTTTCCTTTTCTCCCCCGCGCTTTTTGTTTGCTTGTGTTTCGGTTTGGAGCCGTCGCCCCGACATTTGCGCCGGCTCAAACTGCGGGGGTTCCTCTTCTCGCCGAAGCCTCGAAGGGCGAAATATTTCGGACGCCGAGGCCACCTCTGGGACCGCTGCCTGCCGGAGGAGCGCCCGTCGCCGGAGCTTTTTGGGAGCCTCGACCAGGGCCTCGGCGGCCCGGACAGCCGCAGGTCCCTGGAGCTTGCGCCTTGGGCTCCTTTTTTTTCCTTCTTCTTCTTTGTTTTCTTCTTCGGGATATGGGGAAGGAACCCCTTCCTTGGTAGAAAATTCAAGGAACCGAGCCACTACAAAGTAGATCTGGAAAGGTACCCAAGGTGCGAACTCTTGGACTGCCGGAAACAACGCTGAGGATCGGCCGCTGAAGCGACACGCTGCGCAGGAGCTGTGGCCCCAAATGCAGGCCGGGAAACCCCACGGGCTCTCCAGCGACAGCTCTCGCCGTGTACGGGTGAGCCAGAGTCAAAACCGGGATGAGGATTAGTAAGGGACAATCCAATCATAAGTAGGTGCAGCCGGCTTTCAATTCTTGAGGCATAGTTCTGGGTAGACCATTTTGGTGCCAGGTTTTGATTTTGACTCAGGTGGTGACGGTGCTTGATGTGGATGAGGAGGCCAAAGAGCATCTCCGGAGTTCGCTGGGCGTGCCAGTTTTCTCTCCGATCTTTGTCCACAACACGGGTCTGTTTTTTCGGGATAATCTCGTTTTTATTTGGGGGTTAAAGGCCGAAATCCATTTTGGAGGGGTCCCTGAAAACCGACACACCCATACGATGGTTGCATTGCTAAGGCTCTATGCAATTCCAGAAGGTCCTTTGGGAGTTAACGTCTTTCCCGAAGAGCCCTTCGGCACATGGACTTACCTCTTGGCTGCTTGGGCCGCATAGCGTTTGGGACTCCAGTCACTCGAGATGAGTCACAATCAAAACGCGGGTAGACGAAGGTCAGCAAGGGGCAGTCCCAGCCATAAATAGCTGCGGATATCCGCTTTCTGAATCCTTTACACGGTTCTGGGTTCACCATTTTTGTACCGGGTTTGGATTGTGACTCAGTTGCCCATGTGGTGACTCGGGCTTATGAAGGAGAAAAACGGCACTGCTGCAAATGATCTCGAAACGGCAGGTTCGGATTTTGACTCAAATGATCTCGATGACGCGCCTGGTTTCCTCTCCCAGGATCCCGGCAGCGCCTTCTTCGAGCTGCTTCCCCCCGAGGCCGAGGCCGACTCTCGGCCCATCCCCGCCTGGGAGGCCCAGGTGGGCGCGTGCTACGAGCTGGTGGTCACCAACCGCAGCCTCTGCAGATGTCGCCTGGGAGAAGTTCTCCGAGTGCACGCCATGTTCGGCAAGATGCCGGTGGTGTCACTGGAGCGAAAAAGGGAAAGAACAGACGCAGGAGCGAGCTCATTGCTCTTGACCTTCGGACTTCAGCTTAGCTACGCTTTGGTTCAGCGTAGCTAGCCATGTGTATATAGTGTTAGATAGTCCCAGTTGAACAGCTCTCTTTGTTCTTCTCCGCGCCATGGTGAACGTTCCCACCCTGCTGGCGGTAGCTTCTCTGGCGGCCAACTACGGGTCCCGCTCCGTGTTGCCGGTGGTGTCCCATGTCATCTGCATCGACGGTATTTGCAGCGCCTCAGAGCTCATCGGCGCCTGCAGCAGCGCGTTCTTTGCTGGGGACCTTGGAGCCCAGTTGGTGGCAAAGGCCCGCGAGTCTCGACATTTTGTTCGGTCGACCCCATGTTGGCATGGCAGGTTTCTAGTCAATGTCAGGGAGGTGCGACGGACCCGGCTTTGTCGGTTTTTGTCCGCGCAGTATGCAGTTGGAAAGGCGACTGCGGTACCAGCCACACAGAGAGAAGAGAAAACGAGTGTTTCAAGATGTTTCAAGCAAGATGTAGACATGCCAGACCCAGGATAAATTTCGGAAGCGGGACCAACTCAGGGAAGTTCGGTAATTATCCCTTGAAACGAAACGCATCTTTCCTGGAATCAAGAATCACAATTGCACAGGAAATAATATTTCTCCAAGATCCTGACTTCAGAAAATAAAGACAAGATTCAACATTTCTGCTTGCTCATGCTCGTGACCTCGTGACTCACTTTGTTTTAACCTCGCCCCCTGACATTGTGAGTGAATCTAAACTTCTCGGCACAGTAGATCCAAGGTGCTTTTTTTTTCTTCTTTTTCTGGTGGACCCTTGGGGGCAAACTGGTGGATCCAAGATTGCTGGGACTTTTGGGAGCCATTTTCGACCAAGAATAAATATCGACATTTCTTGCTGCCGGTATTTCATTTTCCAAATATGGGTACTATAGGTATTTAGATCCTGAATCCAAGATCCAAGATTTCCCCCAACGTTCCCCACAAATCTTGGATCTTAGATCTTGGATCCAGGGTCTAAATACTGGTATCATTCCGCAGTCCAAATACTGAAATTTAGATTCAAGGAGTATCACTCATGAATCCAGGATTTCTCCCAACAGCCCCCCCAAAAAAAGAGAATAAACACAAATTCATAATATTGGATCTGGGATTTTGGATCAGACATCTACATACCTCGGAATTCGGGACGTTCACGGATAGAAGAACGCTCATGGAGGGCAGGAGTATCGCCTAATCGATACAAGATGGTTCACACATGGATCTTCATTGGATCCGGGGTCTAAGGACCGTGGTCTTAGGAATCCAAATAAGCGTATTTAGAGTTCCGAAACCCCTTCCCTTCCCCCTTTCGTTGTCATGTATATTTGTCAATGCAGAAACAATGGCTACAACACAGCAATAACATCTCAAACAAAAAGTGGCTAACATCTAGATATCATCATGTGGTCTATTCGCAAAAAACACTTCCTTACCTAGACCACCCCCCCCCCCCCTCCTCCCCCGGCTCTAGCTTTCATTCACCCTCTCAAGTTCTATGTGGCGATGAGATTTTTGGACATCAGAATTCGGTGGGGATTGTCCACCAAACACTTTTGAGATGGTTCACTTTTTAATCAAATTCACGGCCATATGGCCGTACACCAATGGTAGTAGGTGAATTCACCGCCCATTTTAGGTTTCCTATTTTAGTGGTGGATTGAATCGGAGGTTCACTGGGGGCGAACCGGTTTGGATTTTGACCCATGGCTGGGTGGCTCGTCTTTTTTTGAGGGTACCCCTAATTAGCCTGGGTGTTCAAGGGAACCCAAAAGGAATATCCATGGATTTTGGGCGGTCCCCGGCTTCTTCAGTGATGGCCATGTGACTATGGGTCAAAATTCAAGCACCAGGAATTGGACCGCAGGTTTTGGTCCATGGCGCAGGGCAAGCCATTTGGGGTACCTATTTTTGAACCACAGGCATATGAGAGTCGTTCGAAAGGTCCTTGTATTGAGCTATGAAAGGGAAGACCTTTTGGTCTTGGCGTTGACCTCCGCGAAAGTTCCGCGAAGGGGGTCGCGAAAGTTAATTTTTTATTCGCGAAAGTTTTGTGTAAGGGTGGCTTGCTAACAGGAAGCTGGAGTGACGAGTCATGTGTATTTACCGGCAGTGCACGCGCAGAATGCCTGCAGACTAAAGTTGGGCAGGGAATGCGCAGCCTGAGTGTCGCCGCAGAATACGCCGCTGCAAAAGCAACCCCCAGCCAGTAGACACCAGCTTGTGGGAGTTTTGAAGCTTTCGGGTCAAGTTGGGTGCAACTTCCAGCGGGATTTTCGCGAATGTTTGGAGTAAGATCCGCGAAAGTTTCGCGAGAGTCGACGGACCTCCCCGCCAGTTTCCGGACATGAGGCCAGCGGGTCCTCTCGTGTGTAATTAGCTAACAGCTTGTGAGCTTGGAGCTGCGGAAGCTCGCTTCGCGTGCTACTTTGGAACTGAAAGGTCGCGACTTTCGAGCTGGGGCTGCGGAAGTTTACTTTGTGTACTACTTTCGTATTAAATTAAACAGTTTTGACTTTCGAGGCTGCTGAAGTTTAGTTCGTGTACTACTTTCGTATTGAAAAGTTGCGACATTCAAGCCGGGCTGCGGAAGTTTACTTGTTGTATTACTTTCGTATTGAAAAGCTGCGACTTTCGAGGTGGGGCTGCGAAAGTGTGCTTCGTCTACTACTTTTGTGATGAATGTTCTGCAAACAGCCCCGCGAAAGTTCCGCGATGGGGTCCGCGAAAGTTAATTTTTTTCTCGCGAAGATGGCGGTTTCCGGAACAAGGAATTTCAGACAGCCGTCATATGGCTGTGGGTCAAAACCAATGGTACCATTTGGGGTAGGTGAATTCACCACCCATTTTAGTCTATTTTAGTGGTTGGATTGTCATGTTCACTGGGGGTGCGGGATTTTGACCCATGGCCATGTGGTCCGACCGGTCCCCCGGTTTCGTCCGTCGGCCAGTGACGAAGGCCTTGGTGCAGCGCTTCAGCGGGCAGCAGCTGCTGTGCTGGGGCACGGGCGCCTGGGCGGCGGTGATGCTGCTGGTGCCTCGGTCGCCGTCGCTGGTTTTTGGGCTTGGTGCGAAATCAGCAAGTTGGGTGTGTATCCTTTTTGAGGTGGGAGCCCTTCAACATGGGCGTGGCTCGAAGTTCAAGACCTAGGCTTACGCAAGTCCCAGTCTTTGTTTCCGGTTACCAAGGTGCCATTTTGGGTACCGATTTTTGAGCCACAGCCAGATGGCGCAATGGTTTTTCTTTTGGCTTCCCTTTAAACGCATCACAAACGGGTACTTAAAAAAAAGCAGGAGACCCGTTTTGGTGAAGGGAAACCAAGAAGCCACTCAAGTATTTCCGGTCCCAGGTATCCACCCATGAAAATTGTTTTGGAACCCCTATTTGGACAAGACAGCACCTATTCCCTTTATCTCAGAGATGAATGGGGATTCCTGGACTTCATTGCTGGGAATGGCATGCTTGTTGAAGCATGTTTCAAAGGCCCCATTCTTCTAGGGCTAGCTTCCGTTTCCATTCTTTCCAGGCATCCTTCTTTCTACAAATCACCCAAAACCAATGGGAAACAGCTGGTTTTCCAAAAGAACGATTGAAAAGAATGGAAAAGGAAGCAACCCCTAGACTTCTCAATGCCCAGGTGCCTGCGGCCCTAACAGGCCCGCGGCTGCTGCTGCTTCTGCTGCAAGCGGTGCTGGGCTTCTGCTGCGGCCTCGGCTACCCCTCCGCCCACGCGCTCTTGGCGGAAACCGTGGCGCCAGAGAACAAGGGCCTGGCCGTGAGCCTGCGGCTGGGTTCTGGTGAGCGGGTGAGCGGGGAGCAGCACCGTTTTTCCCCAACAGCTGAAAGCTTTGGGGTCTCAGCCCAGATAGACTCCGGGGTGGTTTGGGGCGACCCTGAGCTAAGGTTCCACCAGGGTTCCACCAGGGTTCCACCAGGGTTCCACCACGGTTCCACCAGGGTTCCACCAGGGTTCCACCTGCAAGGCTTCCACCAGGGTTCCACCAGGTTCTGCAAGGGTTGCGGGGTGGTTAAGGTTCCACGAGGGTTTCACCAGGGTTCCACAAATTTCTTCGAGGGCTGCTGGGTGGTCCGGGCTGGTTTGAGGAAGGGTTCCACCAGGGTTCCACTAGGTTCCCGAGCCGTGCCCCGTGGCTGACGTTGGCAAGTTTCTGCAGAAGGCAGTGCGATGCGCACCAAGCACTCTCAAACACGGCAAAATGGGACTGTGCAGCCCCCTCAAGCTACTTTTAAGTGGGATTTTCGTGAGAATCATGATCCAAGCAAATTTAAGCAAAAATTACCTTTTGTCCCTTCTTGAGCAAAAAATGTGTGTTGTCCCAAGGACATGTTTAATGGCCGAGGAAGTTCTGGGCAATGTTCCACTGCCCTGGAGGGAAGCAGTGTGTCGTGCGCCCGTCGTCTGACAAGCCATCGGATCAAGATCGCCTTGCTCATGGGCGGAACACTAAGCAAAACCGAAATCAATGGTCTTAGCACACTTTCACTGTTTTGTGACTTGCTCACTTGCTCAGGCAAATGTTGGCTTTGTGGCAAATCAGATCACGTCGCTGCGGGACTCACGGTGCAGCAGAGTAAATGCTTGGCATTGCTGCTTGGGGCTTTGGGTTCCGAGAATTCCACATGAGGTAAGGTTCCAAAAGCGTTCCACAAGGTTTCCACCAGGTTTTCGCAAAAGCTATGGGGCCAGCCCTGAAGAAGTGTTGCAACAAAGTTTCACGCTGAGCTCCACGAAAGTTGCATGAGAACGGTTCACCAGGCCTAGGTCGGGGCCCGATTGCACTGTCGGGGCCCGATTGCGCCGTTTGGGCCCGATCGGCCCCGACTGCGCCATCGCGCCCCGATCGGGGCCCGACTCAGTCGGGCCCCATCAACTGTACCAAGCTGGCATCGCCTTGTTTTGCTATAGATACAGTTGTAATCCGCATGTTAAGGAAAACCGGCGTTGAGATATATTATGGGTGGCTGGGGTTGCACCACGGGACGATCGGGCCCCGATTGCACCGTCGGGCCCCGATCGGGCCCCGACTGCACCGTCGGGCCCCGATCAGGCCCCGATTGCGCCGTCCGGCCCCGATCGGGTCGGGCCCCGATCAGGGCGAGATTGCGCTGTCACTCGTAGCTTTGCTTTAGAAGTTTACAAGGCGGCATCCTCAGCAACGCCGGCGGTAAGGATGGTCCCGGGGCGTTCCGCGAGGATTCTGGGAGGGTGTGGTGCTGTTGGGGATATCGCCCGAGCTTATTTTTTTTTGGGGGGGAAGCCTCAATTGATTGATCGGCCTGGATCTGTGGAGAGTTCGAGCTAAGCACAGCTTTCCGGATTGACATCTCAAGGCGAAGATCTATCTCTTCTTTTTTTTCCCCAACAGCTGAAAGCTTTGGGGTCTCAGCCCAGATAGGGTTCCACCAGGGTTCCACCAAGGTTCCACCAGGGTTGCGCCAGGGTTCCACCAGGGTTCCACCAGGTTTCCACCAGGTTCCACCAGGGTTCCGCCAGGGTTCCGCCAGGGTTCCACCAGATTTCCAAGAGGTTCTGCGAGGGCTCCAGGTGGCGCGAAAAAGAGAACCACATGCTGTTGGGGACACCTAGCTATGGGCCCGGAGAACCTTGCAAAGGGGCTGCCCCATAGCTTGTTTTTCTTCTTTTCTCTCTCTCTCTCTCTCTTGATTGGTTCAACACCGGAATGTCAATTTGAACATGCCTGCAGTAGATTGTTCTATGCCAAACCTGCGCCAATATCTTTTAAATTTCTTTAAGGCACTTTGTTCATCTGGCATTTTGTGTTGTCTGATTGTGTTGAACAGATGCACGTGGAGGCGTCCTTTTTTCCAGGGGACCAACCAAATTTATGATTTTCCTTTTGGTTTCCCTTTAAACCCGACTAAGCAAAGGGTACCATCAAAAAAGACGGACCGAAACTATCCTGGCTGGCTTCATGGCGACTGAACATGCGAGCGGCTTACCGCCCCTCGAAACCAAGGATCATCAGTGCCTCTGCAGTGGGAGCTATGGCGAGCCTTTCGACTGCAGACATTGACATATGACTTGTGTCTTTGTTGGCTCCCAAATTCGTGCGTGGTTTCCCTCTTGGTTTCCCTTTAAAACCTACCAAACATGGGTACCCCCACAAGGCATATTCCTGCTGCACAAGGCTTCAGCAAGATTCATGTGTTTGGTTTCTTAGCAGCGGCTTGCGGCTGGAGAACAAATTGAGAACAAGACTCGACATGCCTTCGGTTCCTTTCCGAGGGGTTCCTGTTGCGCTTCAGGCAACTTCCTGACGCCTCAGCTGACCCAGGTCTTCAGTTGGCTGGTGCCGTTCCTCCTGTTTGCAGGGCTTGGGCTTGCCATCACTTGCAGCATCAGTCTGTCGACCCGGCCCAAACCCAAGGCATGGGGTTTTCGGAAGATTGAAGGGACGTCGGTTCCATCCGGGGGTTTGTCAAGCGGCTTAGCGGGCGTGCGCATCGGTTTTTGAGAGGCGCACGGCAGCTCAGCCTCCAGCTCCGGCAGCTCCGAGCTGCTGCTGTGGCTGCGCGAGCCTTTGATCCCCGCGATCTTCCTTGGGATGTTCGCGTCCGGGGCAGCCAATGCCTTCCTCTATAGCTTCGTTCCCACGCTCTTCGTGGAGGCCTACGGCGCCTCTCTGGAGCAGCTGGGGTTCCTGACCTTCGCTGCGCCCCTGGGCAACTCGGTGTGCTGCGTGCTCAGCGGCATACTCGCGGACAGCCTGGTGAAGCACATGCGACCCTACCAGGTGCGCATGATCATGCAGAGCTTGGGCACTGCAGTGCCAGCGCTTTGCCTGCTTGCCACATGTCAGCTGAAGAGTCAGCTGGGCGCAGCGGTCACAGTGACACTGTGGATGGCAAGCCATGGCTTCCAGACCTCTGGGATCACTGCGCTACTGCACGACGTGGCTCACGCGCGCGCCAGCGAGCTCTTTGCCATGGGCAACGTCGCCAGCAAGTTCGCAGGGATCCTCGCTGGTCCATTGGTCAGCAGGCAGTGCAGTCGATCTTGTGCTTGTGTCCGGGTTTTTGTCGCTGCGCGCCTCGGAGGTTTGCCAGCACTTGGGGCTGGAATTGGATTTTGTGCATCATTGCGCTGCACTACCTGGTTTCTGGTGCAGTGCTCGTGAGCCTTATGCCCAGAAGCGAGGAGGCCAGCAAGCTATTCAACATAGCAGGGCACTCAATTGACCTGCGCACATATCGAACAAACTACTTGTGGAGCGCGGGCAAAGCATTGCCACTGAGGATACGTGCAAGAAGGAGGAGCAAAAGGATGAGTCAGGCCGGTGTCGCGCACATGGTGCATGTTCATCCACGCGTCACCAGGATCTCCTGCCAGCTCCGATGCCGAGAGCACCCACATTGCATCCAGTGCGGAACCAACTCCATCGCGGCTTGCTGGAAGAACCAGGTCATTTGTGGTACTCGACTCTTGAAGGACTATTTGAGCCATAATCGAAACGGTAGATGAAGCTTAGGGACCATCCGACCAGAAAAAAAAAAACAGGTGCGGATATCCGCCTTAGTTCTTGAAACATGGCTCTGGGTCGACCATTGCAATACTGGGTTTTGCTTGCAACTCTGGGCTTGACCAAGGTCTTCAAGGTTCAGCTCCAGGTCATCGCGGAGGAGACCTACCAGAGAGGTATCGCTGGACTAGGCGCGAGCGAGGCACATGCAGCAAAAAGATGTTTGTCAAAGCACAGCACGCAGATGTAAGATTGGCCTTGAAGGGGAGGACCAAAGATCAAAGACAAACTAGCACTGTAAATACTTGCCTTCATATTCTCTTTTGCCCGGCTGGCAGGCGGTCGTGGCAATGCCTGCCCCGACCTGCCTGTGATTGATATTCAGCGGATTGCATGGCATTCTTGCTTTGCTGCCCATCACTGGCAGTGTGCAAGTTTGATCAACTTTTCTCTTAAAGCCGGTACAGAAAATCATGATTGTGGCATCCAATGGCATGTCCAGGCGGACCAAGCGTTGGCTGGCGAGTGCACAAAGTGCAACTGCTCTGCCTGGAGTCACAACGTGACAGGTCAAACTTGAAAATATAGCTTCAAGATTTTCAGACTTGGTACTTTGTCCTGACTTGCTCCCTCGTGGAAGTCAGGGCTTGCGCTGGACGCTGTTCTCCTGTTTGCAGCAGGGATTCACCAAAGGTCTGCTTTTTGGCGACGGACATCCTTTCCTGCAACAGCTTCGTTGCCGTTGCCTTTTTGCACAGGTCTAAGTTTGTTTGGTGGTGCCACCGGTCTACATGAGCCTAGTCTGTCCTGCCGATGCAGAGTGCCTCTTGCTGCAAGCTGATAGAAGGGTGTCATGCTGACATTCGTTGCAACAGGCAGTAGGTACAGGATGGCATGCATGATCGTGCAGCCTACAATGCTTGGATGATATGGCAAGCGCCTTTCATGGCAGTTCGTAGGAAGAACTTGTCACACTGAGAATTATTATTACACACTCCAGTTGCCACATCTCCTTGCACTGGGAATCGCAACACACCGTCCAAGAGCGGACGTGGTGTGCAACAGACAAGCAAGAGCAGCATGCTGATGCTGCTTGCGCACAGATGTTGAAAACAATGATGGACGTTTGACGTCAGCATGTGATGCTTGAAGTGCTCGCAGTGTACTGTGTACCCTGCTACTTTTTGCCTGGCATGTGGTGATCACCTGAGTGTTGTGAGCTTATCGGAGATTGCCATGCTGCATCATCATGGGTGCCTCAACGCTATCGAACAAGCACACAGAGCGGGCATTTGCTTCCCTGGAGCCTCAAGTCTCTACTCGATTTGATGGGCACCCTCAGCCGGACAGGAGGGACTCATGTGAACCAAGCGAGGGCCCTGCCATGGATAGCGGCGCGCACCATGGGTCAAGAGGCCGGGTCATGCTCTGAAGCGAACCTGCTGTCTAAAGCACCCTGAACTGGGACCCTCTTTCTTGGAGGCTTCTGCAGGTTTGAGCTATGCTTAAGACAATGGGAGTGCCAGCACTTCACCTTGCAGATTTGGCATGCAAGGCATCACAGTGCAACATGACCTGACTTTTCATTCTTGCAAGGCGCGGTTCATTTGTGGGGGCAGCGATGATCCTGCCTCAGTCTTTCTCATCGTGGGACAATCGACACGCAATGCTTTGAGCAGATTTGGGGACGGCCCATGAAGTATGTGCAATCAACTTGCTTTTCCAGCGGTCCCTCAATTTCTTTTTTTGGCCCTCCAAAAGTGGCGTTCGTTTCAATGGAAAGCACCGGTAAATTGATCAACCTGCGATTTGGGGAAGTCCAGTATCCCTGTTTTCGGAGGTGAAGTTGGCAAAGATATTCTTTTTAGGTTAGCTTGGTTACAAATAGATAGCACTGGTTTCTAGCAACAGTTTGGATGCGCTTTTTGTGGGGACTTCACGTGTTCTTCCCCTTCTTGGTCCTTTTTTAAATAATTGGAAACGCTGCGCGTTGCCCGCCTCGGCCCAGCCGAGCGCACAGCGTCTGTGGTTCGACTGCAAGCAGCAGAGCTGGTCAGGTGGCGATTCAGGCATGGACAGGTTCTGGCGTCGTTGGACCAATTGATGTCATGGGCCGAGGCAAGGGCAGGGCGATGCACAGGACTAGGGGTGGGTCATGGAGCCAGCAGACAGGGCGGGCTGCGCTGGGCCTTGCTTGGGTTGGTTGGTGGAGGGCCTGGGCTGGGTGGGCTGGGCTGAGCCCTGCTTGGGTGGTTGCTGGTTGGACACTGGGCTGGGCCTGTTCTCAGGTAGTCTCAAGGCTGGTTTGTCTGACGGCGGGTTGCTGGCTGGGCAAGTCTCAAACATTGGGCAGCCTGGCTGGGCTGCGCCTTGCTTGGCTGTGAGGCTTCATCTTTGGCAGGGGTGGAAGCCGCGCCCAAGCCGTATTTTAACGCCTCCGGCTCAGGCCGCCGACATTACAGGCCTGCTTTCTTATTTGCGTCCCTTTGGAATTGTCCCCTTGCCCCCTTCCCCTCTGAGATTTTTGCCCCCCTTTCTTTGTTGAGATCCATTCCCCCTTTCCGCCCTAAGGCCTTTTCTCCCTCTGATTTTTTCCCTTTTCCTCCCTAAGATGTTTTCCCCCCTCTCCCTGTTGAGATCCTTTCCCCCCTTTCCCCCCTAAGGCCTTTTCCCCCCTGAGATCTTCTCCCTTTTCCTCCCTTTCCCCCACTTTCCCCCCTACGGCCTTTTCCTCCCTGGGATCTTTTCCTTTCCTCCCTGAGATCTTTCCCCCCCTTTCCCTGTTGAGATCCTTTCCCCCCTTTCCCCCCTACGGCCTTTCCCCCCGCTGAGATCTTCTCCCTATTCCTCCTTAAGATCCTTTGCCCCCTTTCCCTGTTGAGATACGCCCCCTTTCCCTGTTGAGAAGATCCTTTGATCTTCTCCCTTTCCTCCCTAAGATCTTTCCCCCCTTTTGTTGAGATCCTTTCCCCCCTTTCCCCCCTAAGGCCTTTCCCCCCCTGATCTTTTCCCTTTTCCTCCCCTTTTCCTTTCCCCCATTCCCCCTTTCCCCCCTACGGCCTTTCCCCCCGCTGAGATCTTCTCCCTATTCCTCCCTAAGATCCTTTGCCCCCTTTCCCTGTTGAGATCCTTCCTATCTTCCCCCTTTTCCTTCCTAAGATCTTTTCCCCCCTTTCCTTGTTGAGATCCTTTCCCGCCCTTTCCCCCCTAAGGCGTTTTCCCCCCCAAGATCTTCTCCCTTTTCCTCCCTAAGATCCTTTGCCCCCTTTCCCTGTTGAGATCCTTTCCCCCCTTTCCCCCCTAAGGCCTTTCCCCCCCTGAGATCTTCTCCCTTGTCCTCCCCAAGATCTTTTCCCTTGGTTGAGATCCTTTCCCCCTTTCCCTCGAGATCTTCTCCCTTTTCCTCCCTAGGATCTTCTCCCTGTTGAGCTCCTTTCCCCCTTTTCCCCCTAAGGCCTTTTCAGATCTTCTCCCTTTTCCTCCCTAAGATCCTTTGCCCCCTTTCCCTGTTGAGATCCTTTCCCCCTTTCCCCCCTAAGGCCTTCCTATTCCTCCTTAAGATCCTTTGCCCCCTTTCCCCGTTGAGATCCTTCCCCCCTTCCCTTTAAGGCCTTTCCAGATCTTCTCCCTTTTCCTTCCTAAGATTGTTTCCCCCCTTTCCCTGTTGAGATCCTTCCCACCCTTTCCCGCCTAAGGCCTTTCCCCCCCTGAGAGCTTCTCCCTTTTCCTTCCTTAGATCTTTCCCCCCTTTCCCTGTTGGCCTTTTTTCCCGCAGATCTTCTCCCTTTCCTCCCTAAGATCTTTTCCACCCCTTTCCCTGTTGAGATCATTTCTCCCCTTTCCCCCCTAAGGCCTTTGTCCCCAGATCTTCTCCCTTTCCTCCCTAAGATCTTTCCCCCTCTCTTTCCCTACTGAGATCCTTTTCCCCCTTTCCCCCCTAAGGCCTTTTTCCCCCCTGAGAGCTTCTCCCTTTTCCTTCCTAAGATCTTTTCCCCCCTTTCCCTGTTGGGCTTTCCCCCCTAAGTCCTTTTCTCCCAGATCTTCCCCCTTTCCTCCCTAAGATCTTCCCCCCCTTTTCCTCCCTAAGATCTTTCCCACCCTTTCCCTGTTGAGATCTTTTTTCCATTTTCCCTCCCAAGGCCTTTCCCCCCCTGAGAGCTTCTCCCTTTTCCTTCCTAAGATCTTTTCCCCCCTTTCCCTGTTGAGAACCTTTCCCCCCTTTCCCCCTTGAGGCCTTGTCCTTTTGCCTCCCCAAGATCTTTTTCCCCGGTTGAGATCCTTTCCCCCTTTCCCCTCGAGATCTTCTCCCTTTGCCTCCCTAGTATCTTTTCTCCCTGTCCCTGTTGAGATCCTTTCCCCCCCTTTCCCCCCGAAGGCCCTTTCAGATCTTCTCCCTTTTCCTCCCTAAGATCATTTGCCCCGTGTTGAGATCCTTTCCCCCTTTCCCCCCTAAGGCCTTTCCCCCCCTGAGATCTTAAGGCCGTTTCCCCCCCCTGAGATCTTCTCGCTTTTCGATCCTTTCCCCCCCTTTCCCCCCCAAGGCCTTTTCCCCCCCCTGAGATCATATCCCTTTTCCTCCTTTTTCCTCCCTAAGATGTTTTCCCGCCATTCCCTGTTGAGATCCTTTCCCCCCTTTCCCCCCTAAGGCCTTTTCCTTCCTGAGATCTTCTCCCTTTTCCTCCCTAAGAGCTTTTCCCACCTTTCTTTCTTGAGATCCTTTCCCCCCTGTCCCCTAAGGCCTTTTCGCACCCTGAGTTCGTCTCCCTTTGCCTCCCTAAGATCTTTTCCCCCCTTTCCCGCTTAAGATCCTTTCCCCCGTTCCCCCCCCTAAAGCCTTTTCCCCCCAAGATCTCCATCCTTCTCTTCCCAAAGTCTTTTTCCCCCTTTCCCGTTTGAGATCCTGTCCCCCCATTGCCCCGTAGGGCCTGTTCCCCCCGAGAAAGATTTCCATTTTCCTCCCAAAGATCTTTTCCCCCTTTCCCCCTTAAGGCATTTTTTCCCCAGATCTTCTCCCTTTCCTCCCTGAGATCTTTCCCCCCCTTTCGCTGTTGAGATCCTTTTCCCCTTTCCCCCCTTCATTTCCTTCACCAGCATGGGCAACATCCCCAGCGTCACTTGCATCATCCGCATCCTTGGCAGGCGCTGATGCGGATGATGCAGGTGATGCTGGATCCTTTCCCCCGTTTCCCCC